TTTTTTTTTTTTTTGAAACCATAAGTCATACACAGTTTGACCGATAGAAAAAAATTTTTTTTTAGTCAATATAATATCGAACAAAGTCAATATAATAATATCGAAGCTTTGAAAGATTTTATGCTACCAAAATACTGACACGGGGAAAAGCATCGGGTTTTTTTTTTTTTTGCATTCAATATTTTATTTCTTTTTTTCCCAAGAAACTTTTTTTCAACTTCTTTTTTTTGATAAAAAACTACTGTATTTTAAAATTTCCTTTTTGTCATTACCGTATTTGAGCTAATTTAATTTGAGACATACAAAAAAAATTTTTTTTCTCAAATTTATTGTCTTCTTTTTTTTTTTTTGAAGATCTTTTTGGAAGATCAATGACTACTTTTTTTGAACAGTATCGTTAAACGCTACTTAATCTGATTTTTTGATTTTTCACAATTCAAACTGAAGCAATTTTAGTTGTTAAAAAAATTTGTATTGTAATTAAACTTATATTTGATGCAAAAAAAATTTATAGAATTTTTAATGCAAAACCTGCGTCTTACTTCGAATGTCACTTTTCAAACATAATTTTTTTTTTAAAAAAATTACAGAAAAAAAACAAATTTATAATTGCAGTTGATGTTCTACTTTGAAGGTTATAGGACTAAAAAAATGAACTTAGAATGTTCTTTTAGTATTCTTTGAGGAGAGAGAGGAAAGATGAGAGGTGGAGGTGGTGATAAGGGAATAAGAGAAACGGCAACGGAAATGGAATTGGTTTTCCTTCAGTTTTATCCTATACCGTGGTGTTTCTTTTAGAAACACAATTGGCCTGTGACCCGTAGACACCGAAGCATCGAAGTAGTTTTTGCAGTTGATAATCCCCAAACATCAAAGTAGTTTTTGCAGTTGATAATCCCCAAACATCAAAGTAGTTTTTGCAGTTGATAATTGTCATCCTAAATAAGTTAGAGCACAATGTTCAGCAAGAAAAAAAAAAAATTTAAAAAGCTCTGAAAAACAGATTTATCAATCGTTTACTATTGAAAAAAAAAAAATCATTTGCTTTTGCTATTGGATTAACTGTTTGATACAGAGGTCAAGAATTTCTTCATGTAATAATTCATTTTTTTTCTGCCAAATTTTTTATATGGTAGAATATTTGTGCAGATGCAGCTGCAATGCAGATGACAGGAAAGAAGATTTTGCTTTAAAATAGGAGGTATAATTTTAGTTGTTATTGTTGTTTTTTTTCCCCCT